GGGAGGGGGGAGGGGGGAGGGGGGAGAGAGAGAATAGGTGACATATAGGGCAAATCACTAAGAAGCTGGTGTAACCAACTCACACATCACTTGATGTGTATTAAAGTTTAACTGCAAGGGCTTTTCCTTCTTTTTTAAAAATTTGAGACAGGGTTTATGTAGTACAGGCTGGTCTTGAACTTGCTGTGTAGCCCAAGCTGATCTTGATCTCAAGATCCTCCTGCCTCAGCCCCCTAAGTAGCTGGAACTATAGGCATGCTCACATTTGGCTCTAGAGGATTTTTAAATTTTCTTATCTATGACCACAGTGGCACACAGAGTTACTCTACATTTGGGGTGGGAAAGGGGAGAGAGGAGGGGGAAGCTCCTGCCGCCATCATGTAACCATGCTGCTTAGCCCATGCTATGCTGAGCCTGCAGCCATGCCACCTCCATCCTGTTCTGGGTGGAGGAACGTAGTCCCAGCCAGCTGGCCAAACTCCTCATTCCTCTGGCCACGCTGGCTGCTCATGGGTGGGCAGATCACAAGTAAGGCCAAAGTCCCTCTGGACCTGGCTACAGCTAGAGACTACAAGGGCCATGTAGATGTGGGGCTATTATCAGACATCTTTGGATTCACAGAAACTTGACCAAAGGCTGAAGTTGGACAAGGCCAAGATGCCTGAGAGCAACTACTATGTGTGTCAGCTCAGTACACATGGGAACACAGGCCAACAACTTCCAGGTTGCACACTAAGCTAGGTAAGCACCTGCCACCCCCTCAGTGCTGGAGATCAAACCCAAGGGCTTACTGAGCTATGCTCCCAGCTGAGATTTTTCTCTTTATGGATACTTGCAACCAAGTTTCTTAGCTCAGTCCAGACAGATAAACATCTTACTCCTTACTGCCATAGTGAAAAACTATTAATGAACAAAGTGTATCATTTCCCTTATGTACTGGCAAAGACAGAGAAACAGATTTAAGATAGAGCTATTTTACAAAAAAATAAAATGGAATTAATGCAATTTGCAGTAGCACATATAGGAAAGAAAATAAAAATTGCCATTATTATCTTTCAAGAGGTTAAAATTCAGTTAGCTATGTTATGCAAGCAGAAAGGTGGATTCATTAACAATAGCTATAATTCAATTTTTATACATGTGCTCGTTATTTTAAAGAAACAGATTCACATTCACAGTAATACTATTTACCACTGTGCAGAACTCAATTTAAAACAGTTAATCTTAGGGCTGGTTTAGCTCAGTGGTTCTGGCACCTGTCTCGCAAGCAGAAGGACCCGAGTTTGATCCCCGGTACCAATAAATAAATAGATAGATAGATAGATAAATAAAATAGTTCTTCCAAGAGTTTAATGAGAAAAGAGGCATTATTAAGTTGTTTACCTAAAAAGCATAGAGGAAGGCTTCATTTTACTTACTAGGCACCCATAAAAACAGAGTTACAAGACTGAGTAATTAAAGCAAAGTCCCTGAATCTTGGAAAGGTAATTTGATGCATACCTGAGAGTTCAGTCAGTTTTTCAGCTCTTTTACTCTTAGTTACAATTATTCCAATCTTAAAATAAGAACAAAATGATTATTAATTTCATATAACAAATTATTTCCTCTTGATAAGAATTTATGTAAAATAAATTAGTATACCTATAAAAGAAAAAAGCAATATATGAGAAACTTTTCCTCATGGTATTTTTACTTTTTTTTTTTTGACAGGGTCTCGCTATGTAGTTCAGGCTGGCCTCAAACTCACAGCAATCCTCCTGCTTCAGCCTCCTGAGTGCTGGAATTACAGGCGCGCATCTCCATACCCAGCACCTCATGGTATTTTTGAACAAATAAATTTAGCTCTGAGTTTACTACACATTGTTAAATTTTTAGTTATTTTATTTTTTGCTAAATGTACCCATAATGAGTATACAATCTGGATCACTTAGCAACTGATAGAATGTATGTCCTTTTTCAAAAAAAAATTCCAGTGTATTTGGTAGCAAAATATAAATACAATTCTGAATTCTATCATTTATTTACATACCTGACTGATAGGATTTTGATCAAAATACTCTTCTACAAAGTACTCCAACAACTGTTTAAATAGAACAAAAAGAAATATTACATAAGGGCAAAATAACAACTGTATAGACAACTAGAATTATGTTTTGTGAAATCTATTTGCCAAGCATCAGTTCTCTCATTCTGCTTTTTTCTTTTTGTACTACTAGAGATGGAACCCAGGTGCTTGCACAAGCTAGGAAAGCACCTCCCATTAAGCTATGCTCCCAGCCCATTTTTCATATTTAAGCTTATAGATTTACAAGAAAACATTCAGTTACAAAAATATTAATTAGTAAAAACTGTATTTGGTTTTTTTGGTACCAGGGATCAAACTCAGGTCCTTGTGCTTGCAGGGCAGGCAACGGAACCACTGAGCTAAATCCTCAGCCCTAAAAACTGTATTTGAAATGGCAAGTGATAAGACAGAAATGAGCTAGGTTTTTTTTAGATTTAGATTTTGTTTTATAGTACTGGAGATTGAATCCAAGGCTTAATACTGAGCATCTCTACACTCTTTTTATTTATTTGAGACAGGGTCTCGCTAAGTTACTAAGTTGTCCAGACTGGGCTTGAACTTGCAATCCTCCTGGTTCAGCCTCAAGTGCTGGAATTACAGGCATGTGTCCCCATGCCTGGCTTAAATGGCTAGGAGTCAGCACAGTGGCAAGCACCTTCCATTCTAGCTGCTTAGGAAGTTGAGGCAGGAGGATCTCTTGTGTGGTCGAGAGTTCAAGGCCAAAAAAAGAAAAACGAAAAAATGATGGAAACAAGGAAAGACCCAATGAAGACAGACAGGGGAACAGTAAGATGGTGGAGTTTTATGAATTAGGAGTACTATGGATGTGTTTATAAGCTGAGAAGACACATTCAAGTAAGCGAATGGAGAATAAAGATTCAGTAAAGAAAAAGGATAAAAGGCTGAGGATCTAGCTCAATGGTTCCGCTGCCTGCCTTGCAAACACAAGGACCCAAGTTCGATCCCCAGTACCAAAACCAAAAACCAAAAACCAAAAAACCAAAAGAAAAAGGATAGGCAACCAAACAAGATCCTGACTTGAGACAAGAGGGTAGAAATTAGACATAAATATTTAGCAGGTTAGGTTTATTATTTCCATGAATTGTACAGCAGCATTTCTCTTAGTTGTCATTTATATTACCTAGAAAAAAATGTTACTACATTTTTTTTTTGCAAAATTTTATTGCATTCTTTTTTCTAGAACGTGTCCTTGCATTTAGTCTAAATGTAAATGACTTTTAAATTACTTTACTGTACCTTTAATGTACATGCCAATCTATTGGGCTTTAAATCTTGGTCTTCCATTGTCCTTGATCCATCTACTACCACATAAAGATGGCGCATCTACCAAAAAGGAAGGGAATGATCTCTGGTTATACCTTTCACGAAGAAGTAAAAATGGCATTGAATGTTCACGTACTCTGAGCATGTTTTTTTTTTTTTTTTGGTACCAGGGATAGAACTTGGGTCCTTGTGCTTGTGAGGCAGGCAATGGAACCACTGAGCTAAATCCCCAGCCCCTGAGGATGGTTTTTAATATATTCTTTTAAAAAGTTTGTTGTGGGCTGGGGATTTAGTTCAGTGGTTTCGCAGCCTGCTGCGCAAGCACAAGATCATGAGTTCAATCCCTGGTACCAAAAAAACAAAAAAAAAGTTTGTTGTTCCAGCTGGGGATTAAGCTCAGTGGCACTGTGCCTGCCTCACAAGCACAAGGTTCTGAGTTCAATCCCTGGTACCAGAAAAAATAAAGTTTTTTGTTTTACTATTGTTTATTCTGTTGAGCCAGAATGTTTCTCTAATCCAAACTAGTTCTGTACTAGTAAAAGAAAAAGATAACATACCATTCCAAGTCGAACTTGTCCATGGTTCTCAAATACTCTGTTAAAATTATACAAACATTTTAGTGGAATACTATGTTATCCAAAAAGTTAATACAACTTGCCAAATAATCTGCATTTTTTATTGAAGTCAATTAATAACTTTTGAGATGCAAATAATTATAGGCAATGTGGATAGTTCTTGAAAACCATTTCTCTGCTGAGGTAAGGTGAGGTTGCCAGTTCTTTCCACCTGTTCAGACAACTAAGGGTCAGTTTCCCTGAAACTCGCAGAAATGAAGCACTAAGGACAGTGAAAGGTGGACAGAAAGGTTCAAGGATGTAGTTTCCTTTTGTAACACATTTAGGAAAAGTTTACATACCTTTTTCTCTTTGCCTTGAAAAGAATGTCTTCTATCGTAGCTTTAAGTGACCCAGATTCATCTTCTTTAAGAATTTCCCTGTAAGCAATAATGGTTTAAAAGATAAGCTAAAAATATTAACTCAAGAAATAAAGACATGTGTAGAGATTTGCACATGTATATTCACAGTATGATTACGTATAACAGCCCAAACTGTAAAAAACCTAAATGTTCAGCAACTGGTGAACTGATAAATAAAAATGTGATATGACAATATACTGGAATATTATTCAGAAATATAAAAAAAACAAGGTTGGTATGGTGGCACATGCCTGTAATCCCAGCTACTTGAGTGGGCTGGACCAAAACAAATGAAAGTTCAAGGCCAACCTGGGCAACTTAGGCCTTAACTCAAAATTTAAAAAATGAAAAATGCTGAGGACATAGCTCAGTGATAGAGCACCCCCAGGTTTAACTCCTAGTACTCCCCTCTATACACGCAGAACCAAGTCAGTACTTAGGAGGCTAAGAGATAAGCCTGAGAACATAGTGAGAGCCCATCTTAAAGAAAAGGAAAAAAAAAGAAATAAAGCACTAATACACTCTATAACATGGATGAGCCTTGAGGTAGTATATTATGTGAATGCTAGACACAACTCATCACGTATTATATGATTATATTTGTGGGAAATATCCAGAAAGGGCAAATTGATAATACACAGAAAGTAGATTAGTGGTCATCTATGGGCAATGAAAATGGAATTAATTGTAGGTAGTCATAAAACACTTTATTGGAGAGGTTAATGTTCTTAAAACTGATTTATGGTAGAGGTTGCACAACTCAAGTAAATTTTCTAAAACAAATCACTGAATTGTACACGGAAGTGGGTGAATTTTAACACATATAAAATACATTTCAATAAAGTTGTAAGCAAAAAGAGATAATGTCTAAAAGAAAAAAAGGGGCCATAATGCCATACTTACCAAGTTCTCTCATAGCCTCCTTCCCATCGCTTAGTTCTTTCAGGTTCTTCATCCATATTTTTAAAAATGTATTATATTATTCAGCACTCTGTAAAAACCATAAGACTATGAATGTTCTAAATATGTTTGTTACAAACTGCATCCACTTACTTAAAGGTTAAATAGGAAACAAAAAAAAAATAGCTGGATATGGTCGTGTATGCCGTATTACCAACTACTCTGGAGGCTGAGGCAGGAGGCTTCCACATTCAAGGATGGCCTGGGCAACTAAGCAAAACTCTGTCTCAAAATAAAATTCAAAAAGGGCTGGGGATTTAGCTCAGTGGTTTCACCGCCTGCTGTGCAAGTGCAAGGACCCGAGTTCAATCCCCGGTACCAAAAAAATAAAATAAAATAAAATTCAAAAGAAGAGCTGTGGGTATAGCTCAGTGATATAAGCACTTGCCTAGCATGCAAGAGGCCCTGGGTTCAACCCCCTACACCAGAAAAAGAAAAATCAGAATGAAAGGTCACCTTATTTTCTGTAGCTTACTCAATAATTGTTAAGTGAAAATAAATATCCTCTTGGAAATCTTTTTCCTATTTCCAATAAATATGAATATTTATGGACAAATGTAGTATCAATATAAATAAACATCTCTGTACAATTTATGAAAGAACAAAAATGTGTTACAGATGTGTTACAAAACAAGAACACAGAATTATGGGAATGAGGGTTGGGAAATTAGCTCAGTGGTGCCATGCCTGTTTGGCAAGTGCAAGGTTCTGAGTCCAATTCCCAGTACCAAAAAAGCCAAACAAAACACCAAAGAGGGCCGGGGGCGGGGGGGGGGGGCGGGGCTCAGTGGTTCCACCGCCTGCCTTGCAAGTGCAAGATCCCAAGTTCGATCGCTGGCACAAAAAACCCCCCAAAAACAAACCCAAAGAATTATGGGAGTTAATACAGGTGTAGTTGAAAGATTAACCACAACTGACAACTACTGTAACCGAATGATAAATACCTGATGATTCATTATGTTCTTTCTCCACCTTTGTGTAGGTTTGAATTTTATTATCAAGTTTTTAAGAATGAAATTTATCATTTATAAATGCCTAAATGCTTAAATCTCATAATTCAAAAGAAAAAAATTAGTTGGGCATGGTGGTGCATATCTGTAATCCCAGCATTTGGGAGGCCGAGGCAGGAGGATCACCATAGTTCACCACAGTTCGAGGCCAGCCTGGGCTACATAGTAAGTTGAAGGCCAGCCTGAACTAACAAACAGAACAAAAGTTAAACATACAGTATGACCTCAACTATTAAAGGAAAAAGATAAAGGAAGTTGTTCAATCATTCAATAAATACAACAAATGGTTTCATCTGCAAGATAAGATTAAAAGTTTTTTCTTCTTTATTCATTTCTAGATTTTTATATTACATCCTTTTTTTTGATAATTAAGGATAACATTGATGGTAAAGAATCCATGAACCATAACCAAGCACAACCCAGTACACCCACACCTTCACCCTCCCCAGTGTTATCTCCTGTCCCAACCCAAGTTCAGGGTCACATCCCCTGTCACTGGCATGGATAAAGATGACTTTATAGTAAGGACCAACTGTCTTCCATAGGCTACTCTGCCTTCTCAGGCCTCCACCTGCCAGGTAAGATGACATTAAGGAGCACCTGACCACTTTCCCCTGACTACATGATCTCAGACTTCAGAGTGGTATTCTGGTCTCATGGCCTCTGACCAAGAGGAAAAAATAGAAGAAAATGGTAGTACAAGGGTTTTTGTGGAGTACACCTCTCCCTAGGCAAAAGATTTCTTATCCTTTAAATCACATACAATTGTAAATGAAAAATGTACTGAAATTTTTAGTTTGTTTCTGACAAAAAAGATGGTATATATACTATTCAATATGATGGACATAGTATGTTTGGCATATTTGAAACAGCCTATACTGACCAGATTAATTTGCACCTCAAGAATGTTAACAGTGGAAAAAAAATTCCAACTGATGGAGCTCTATGGCTGAGAGATGTGCATTCAGAACTCAAGGATAAGTTTACAGAAATTTACCAAAAATACGGAGTTAAGGAAAACATACTGAGATTGACCAATGTTGATCATTGTCTCCGGGCCTGAGGTGGAGGAGTAGCCAAACCTCCAGAGCTGAGTAAATGCATCCTCACTCGGACTCCAGCATCGTCCTCATTTCCGTGTCATCTTACAAGTCCTATGATCTGATGACCATGACTCTCACATATAAAGGTGTTATCCCTGCATCTCTAGAATCTTCCCAAATTGCCTAGAAAGACTTATCAATTGGCCAAGAAGCAAAGATTTTCTTGCCAGGCATGGTGGCGCACGCCTGTAATCCCAGCCCTCAGGAGACTGAGGCAGGAGGATTGCTATCAGTTTGAGGCCAGCCTGAACTACACAGCAAGACTGTCTCAAAAAAAAGAAAAGCAAAAGAAAGATTGGGCTGGGGATTTAGTTCAGTGGCACGTTGCCTGCCTTGCAAGCACTAGGTCCTGAGTTCGATGCCTGTTACCTCCCCCAAAAAAGATTTTTCTCTAAGTGCCTCTGTCTGCCTACCTAGGGCAACTGTATACGAGTAAGATCTTCCTCTATCTGTTCAATGATTAGCCTTGAAATAAATATAGAGAATCTGCCAAAAAATGTATACACTTAAGAAAAACTTGTATATTTTAAAACTTTTATCCACGGGGAACCCTAGAGGATGTCATACATTGCAGAAAACCCACTACACACTGCAGGCTCTTGAGAAGAAATTGAAAATCCATGTGCAGCAGTCCCAGTGACCAAGGTTCCCCAAGCAGCAGTGTGCAGTACTAATTAATGTCTGGAAGCTAATGGCCACCACTTTGCATTTTCAGCACCTCTTGTAACTGTAGAAGCCAAAAATAACTTGTATTAATCTCATGATGTCTCAATAAATTTAGTATTAAAATGTTTATACAAGTTTTTCTTTTCCTGAAGTGTGTATACATTTTTCTGGCAGACTCTGTATATATAAACAAGGATCGTGACCAACATTTTCACCTCCATTTATATCAATGCTTTTATAGAAAATATTTTAAAGCACCGACCTATAAATGGACTTCTGGAGGGGCTGGGGATTTAGCTCAGTGGTTCTGCCGCCTGCCTCGCAAGCGCAAGGTCCCGAGTTTGATACCCGGTACCAAAAAAAATTAAAATGGACTTCTGGAATTAAAATCCCCTGACAAGTTGGAGGCTGCTTCTAAGGTATCACTGCGTTTTTCCGGTACCTGTTATAATCAGATGTTATTAGCTAAAGTCCCGTAATTCAGTTCCCACTGAATTAAAAAACCAAACATGAAAAGTCATATATGCACTAATACAATTGTAGTGGGGGAACCTCAACACCCCACTGTCACAAATAGATCAACTAGACTAAAAATAAGTAATGAAATACTAGAACTCAATGGAACTCTTGAACAAATGAACTTAACAGATGTTTACAGAGTCTTCCACCCCACAAAATCAGAGTGCACATTCTTCTCAGCTGCACATGGGTCATTCTCCAAAATAGACCACATACTCACACATAGAACATGTTTAAGTGGGTGCAAAGGAATTGAAGTTATCCCCTGTATATTATCAGAAAAAAATAAATAAAAGAAAAAAAAAAACCACACATGGTAAGAGATTAACTTCTTTCAGGAAATCTGGTGATGTTTTAATAACATGAAAAACTAGAAGTGACAATAATTTTAACATCTGTGCTGTGCTACAGGTGGTAGCATAGTATACAGACTAAAGTGAACGTTTTGATTCTATTTTCAGTATTTGTTGTGAAACGTTTCAGTATTTGCAAACAAACGAGCGCTGCACCCAGCACCACACTCCGGAAAGCATTTCCTGAGGAGACAGACAAGGGATACTGCTGGGCCTGCTTTGCAAGTGTGAACGCGGAGAACCAAGGTAGGCAACTCGCTCGCGGCCACAGAGCTGGCGCCAAGTCTCGAGTTCGCACCCCGGGCCACAATTCCAGTCCACGCACTGGGCCTGAGGGTGAACCATGCCCGCGCCCGCAGCCCCACGGCTCCTCTGACGGAAGCTGTCCTCTGCCCCCTCCCCGCGCTCCCTGCCACCGTCCTCCAGAGGGCCAGCCAGAACAGTTCGGCTGGGTCCTCCGCCCGACGGCCTTCCGGGCGCCTAGCCCGCCAGCTCTCCCTCCCGCCCGCCTCGGCGTAGCGCAGGCCTCGCTCCACTCGCGGACTCACCAGCCCTGTGTGAACAACTCTGCCGGAAGCACTGTCCGACTCGAAGCGCAACGCCGAAGCCCTTCCGCTGGGCGCTCCGGACGCACACAAAAGTTCCGGCTGCACACAAAATTTCCGGCTGCTGCAGGCAGCGGCTGCCAGAGCGGGGCGCAGGAGAGCAGCGGGGCCCGACCGCCGCTGGTGCAAAGGCGCGCTTTGCTGGAGGCACTTGATTGTTGAATCCCGAAAAGACTGGGATGAAAGAGGCTGATTGCCTGCAGCTATTCATTCCACTTGTATTTTTTGAGCTTCGACTTTGGGCCTGAAACCTCTCAAGGCACTGAGGAAATAGCAATGAAATTTGAGCCAAAAAAAATCCTTGCCTTCGCGTAGTTTCCCATTAGGGACATAACAGTCAGGAAGAGCACACACTGCCCACTGCCCACTGTAGTGATGGTGCTATAGAGAGAAATTAAGTTTGGAATAGAAAAAGGTTTCAGTTTAAAATAAAGGTGGTCAGAGGAAGTCTTTAGGACGACAGCTGAGCCATAGTCCAGTGAAAGAAGCCGATCACCAAGCTCCTACCTGGAGGAAGACCTCTCAGGCTGAGGAGCTGCAAGTGCAAAGGCCCTGAGGCAGAAGCACCATGGTGTGGATGGAAAACTGCTGGGGGAGCATGTGACAGCTAAAATCAGACAGGTGTGGTATGGCAGTGGACCTGGTGAAGTGAATGGACTCTAAATCTTGTGACTAGGCTGGATGTGTTGTGAGAAAAAGAAAATTTTATTCCAGCTAACAGGGACTAGAAATAAGGATATTCTAGCAGCTAGCTGGGAAGTTTATCACATCCCTGTGTAGATGGGTTGACAATGGAGGGGGCGGGGAGGTAGCTGGGAGAGATTTCATTCGTGAGTGGATGAGCTACACCAGGGGAGAGAGGTATTAGCAATTGACTGGGAAAGGAAATAGGTTTATATAGATATTGAAGGGGCTAAGGAATCTGGGGTGACATATTTATGACTTAGCTGCCCAAGGAAGGTCTGGACAGATATGTATACAATTACTGGACTTTTTGGTGCTGGGGGTTGTAAGCCATATTTTTCAGTCCGTTTGCCTTACTGGGAAGCTGCTGGTATTCGCTAAAAGCAGCCTGTTTATTTTTCTTGTTGATTTAGGGCAGTCCTGACATTTAATGTGTCTGTCAGTCTCCTCTTCACAAATATGCTTTGAGGGCCCAGGATTTAGCTCAGTGGCACCACATGTGCCTCGCAAGCGCAACAAGGTCCTGAGTTTGATCCCTGGTACCAAAACAAAATAAAACAACAACAACAAAAAAGAATTTCCCCAACTATAACTTGTATAGATTTTATTTTATTTTATTTATTAATTTTTTTTGGTCCCGGGGATTGAACTCGGGACCTTACACTTTCGAGGCAGGTGCCGGAACCACTGAGCTAAATCCCTGGCCCAACTTGCATAGATTTTAGATGGGGAAGTAAAGGTAGTAGAGCAGAACAAATCATGCATAAATTCATGGTAATCTCTTGGCATAATTACAACTAATATCTTAATCATATCCTAAGTGGCAGAATAAAGAAACTACCTACCTAACCTACCCAAATGTTTTTCTGTTTGTAAAACTAAGAAACAACCCTAAAGAATGGAACAATCTGTTCTTTGCCCATGACTGGACATAATCCATAATTAGGAAATTCAGCTCAGCCAATGCACTCTAAAATACAATGTATGTGACTTGAAAGGCTAGAAAAGACAAACCTGTGTATTTCAGTCCTTACATGGAAACTAAATCATTTGGAAAAACACTCATTTAAGATCTCCAGAATTTACTACAGCAGGTTTTCTTATTTAAGAAATGTTATTTACTTTGTGATACTGGAAACTGAACGTAGGGCTATTACAATGAGCTACACATACCCAACCCTTTTGAGACAGGGGCTCACTAAATCACTGAGTTGCCCAAGCTAGGCTAGAACTTGGGATCCTCCTGCTTCAGCCTTTCAAAGAGCTGGGATTACAGGTACACATACCACTCTCGGCTTGTGATCTTTATTCATAAATTCTATTTGTTCTATCCTTGGAGCATTTGTTCATCATCTATGAATAGTCACAATGCTAAGGCTAACGTTTACCTACTCAGCATTAAAAGAATTTAAAGCTGCACCCAGCAAAGACCAAGCATATAGGATTGGATTAAACATACTTTTTTTTTTTTCCTCCGTTAGTGGTACTGGGGATTGAACCCAGGGCCTCTGCACTGAGCCACATCTCTAGTCCTTGTTCTTTTGAGACAAAGACTTGCTGAAAAGGTAGGCTTGAATTTGGGATCCTTCTGCCTTAGCCTTGCAAGTGCTGGGATTACAGGGATGCACTACCACACCTGGCAAAACATCCTTTTTTTTTTTTTGAGACAGGATATGCCACCATAGTTGGCCTAAACATACTTTTAAAACACAATTTGCTTGTTAAAATTTGCAGGAGGAGATGGGCCAGGGATTTAGCTCAGTGGTTCTGGAGTCTGCCTTGCAAGCACAAGGTCCCAAATTCAATCCCTAGTACCAAAAAAAAAAAAAATTTGCAAGAGGATCACCCGAGCTCAAGGCCAGCTTGGACTACATAGTGCAATCAGCTCTCAAAATACCAAAATAAATAAAGCCTGTTAGTTTCACTTTTTAGAACATAAGAGTAACTGAACATAGTACTTTTGGACAAGGACTCTTCATACATTACCTTCCTCATGAGATCATTACATTTATCATACTTACCTTCACAGTAAGATATTCTTTTACAGGTAACAAAAAATTGAGGTTCAGGGAGGCTAAGCAATCTTTCCAAGATCCCCTATCAAGTAACTGCTAGAGGGCAAAGCAACAATAGGACAAAAAAGAGACAGCAAACAGATCCTGTGGCAACAACTGGAAATTTGGGAAATTTTGTGGAATACTCACATTTTGTTGTAATCACATAAAAACTTCCTGTTTAAGTATCCATATTATTTTTTGAACTCTAAAAGGACACAATTATAATTTACTAATACATTTTCTAAAAACTGCCCAAATTATTCAAGCATTTTTGCACCTTTTTTCCATTAGGAAAAGTGTTAACAATGTAAAATACATGCAGGCTGATGTAGTCCTGCATCTATGCTGTTCTTTCAGTCAGGATGGCGTGGTGTAACAGAATTGTGAGCAGCCGGGAGAATAAATGTGACTTAGATTTTTTTTTTGAGACAGGGTCTCACTATGTAGGTTCAGGCTGGCCTTGAACTCACAGCAATCCTCCTGCCTCAGCCTCCCACAAGTGTGACTTTGTTCCCATTCTCAACCTGAGCCTTTGAAATGGAGCTGGAATTTGGCGCCTTAAAGCCCTCAGCATCCTGACATCTGCAGCTGAGCCTTTGCTAAGTCCAAGTGGAGACAGTCTATCTCGATGCCGAAGCAGGAGGATGTCTGTGTGAGGAATTCCCACAGCCCCAACGGAAGCCAGAGGCCTTAGGTCCCATGATTTTTTTTTTTTTTTTAATAGATACTGGGGACTGAACTCAGGGCCTTTGCCCTGAGCCACATCCCTGGCCCTTTTAAAATTTAAGTTGAGACAGGGTATTGCTAAGTCACTAAACTGCTCAAATTGGGCTCAAACGTGATCCTCCTGTCTCTGCCTGACTCATCTTTACAGGGCACATAAGCCATTCAGGTCTTTACAGGTCTTTCACATATGTTATAGGAAGCATTTCATGTTAATTAAAAGTACTTCAGATGGGGCCCGGGATTTAGCTCAGTGGTTCTGGCGCCTGCCTTGCAAGTGCAAGGTCCCGAGTTCGATCCCTGGTACCAAAAACAAACAAAACAAAACGAAAAGTACTTCAGATGCATTCAACATTAAAACAGGATACTTTATTTACATCAGTCAGAGTGATCTTACATCATGCAGCTCATTAAGTAACAAAGTCAACCTAGGATGGAACCACAGGACCTAAAAGGTGAACAGACCATGATTCCAATCTTTTTTTTTTTTTTTTTGGTACCAGGTATTGAACTCGGGACCTTGTGCTTGCGAGGCAGGTGCCAGAACTAGAGGTAAATCCCTAGCCCATGATTCCAATCTTTAGTTTTGCCATCTGCTAGTGTGACAATGGACTAGTTAATCTATCAAATCCTTAGTTTTCTACCTATAAAATGAGAATAAGAAATGGTTACATGTCAAAAGTGTTGCAAGGATTAAATGACATTTCCTTTCTATGTTTTTTTGAATCAAGGTATTGCTATGTATTTCAAGGTGACCGTGAACTCGCAGCAATCCTGCCTCAGCCTCTTGAGTGCTGGGATAACAGGTGTGTGCCACCACACCTGGCTTCATGTGGTGTATGCATGTATGTATGGTATTAACTACAATACTACACTACTATTTACTACAAATACTAGACTTGACTTTATTTCAAAAAATACAAAGTACATATGACAAAATATTATCACCTGTTATTTCTGGGTGGTAGGTCCATGCATGTTTATACTTTTCTGAATTTCTCTACCTTTTTCAAAATAAATTGAAAAATATTGATCCTACCTACTTTTTTTTTGGTATCAGGGATTGAACTCGGGATCTTGCGCTTGCAAGGCAAGTGCTGGAACCACTGAGCTAAATCCCTGGTCCCCCTACCTACTTTTAATACAAAAATCACAAATTAGGGCATCACTTTATTTAGGGAAACTTTAAAAGATGGACTAAATGTTTTTATAAGAAATTCCTTGGAACAATGATTCATAGCAGAAAGCAGAATGGAGACATAAGGACCACAACAGATAAGGAATAGAGGAGACCTCTGAAGTTGGATCTAATTGTCTTATTTTCCAGACTAGGAAACTAATCAGATGAGTAGTTTCTCAAAGTTACATCCAGTGAGTTAACGTCAACATCAACAGAAACACTTTGATCTCGGCTGCTGAAGTGATCTTAAGTAGTAAATACCACATCTGAATTTTTTACACATCTCATTTTTTAAATTCCAAAGTCCAATTTTATGGCACAATTTTATAGGCTTATGATTCTTGCTATTTTGTTCTCTGCATTCAGCAGAATATGCTTTGTGAGAACACTGGCAAACTTCCAAGAACAAAGAGTTAAAAAATTAACATACCTTAATGAAGGCATTCAAAAGAGTACTTTCATTTGATGTGAATCCAAAAGCTATGAAAATACATTTTCACATGTAGAAAACTAAGAATTTCTTTAATTTGAAGAAATGAATCAGTGTTACATGGAAACATTATATAAAAGTTTATTTTTGGAAGCTGGGGATTTAGCTCAGTGGCGCTGTGCCTGCCTTCCAAGTGCAAAGTCCTGAGTTCGATCCCCAGTACTGGAAAAAAAAAGTTTATCTTTGGGCAGCCAGGGATGGTGGCAAAGGCTGATAATCGCAGCACTCAGGAGGCTGAGGCAGGAGGATTGCTGTGACTTCAAGGCCAGCCTGGGCTACCTAGTGAATTCAAAGCCAGCCTGAACTACACAGCGAGACCCTGTCTCAAAAAAAAAAAAAAAAAAGTTTATCTTTGGAAAATAATTACATTATATTTTAATCACACACTAAAGATTAAAGATTATTCTTTAAAAGATTATCAGAAAAACAAGTCTAAATCAGATGGATGAACACAACCACTATGGTTAAAGAATTACCAGCTAATTTTACTTTACTTTAATTCTTATGACTTTCCAAAAAGAATGATGAGGTTTAAGGGCACCATTTAAAATATTTGGTGTTTTATGGGATAGCATTCATATATCTGCTTCCTTACAGCCATAGGATTGGGAAATTACCAACCAGCACAGCACCCAAAACAGTTTAAAACAACAGAGACAACTCCTGAGTATAGTATTACACAGCTTAATATTAATGATGTTAAATAGATATATTATACAAAGAGAATACCAGGCTTAATACCTTACAAAATATTTATAGAACTTGAACATTCCTGTAAGATAATTCAAGTCATAATTCAATGATAAATTTAATCAGATACTCTGATATAGTGAAAAGGTTCAGTTGATTACAGAAAAAACCCAAATGTAAACCATAAAAGATAAAAAGCATTTAAAAATACACAAAACTGTAGCCACCAGATTTAAACTTAGATTTTTCAAATGTAATGAAGTATTTACAATCTTTATATTTCACACATTTGTTAATTTTACATGATTTCAACAACCAGGATAACATAAAACAAGACAGAAAAAAAACCCCTCTTTTAACCATTCAAATACAGTAACAGAAAAAATTTGAGAGAGGCTGGTAGAACTCAGTATACACAGTAGCTAAAATATGAAAGGCAGGGACTTTATTAATAATAGAGTCACAGGGCCAGGGATGTAGCTCAGCAGTGCCGCACCAGCCTGGCAAGCACAAGCTCCTGAGTTCAATTCCTGGTACCAAAAAATAAAAAACAAAACTAAGAGTCACGGGCTGGGGATTTAGCTCAGTGGTTGTACCGCCTGCTTTGCAAGCGGAAGGACCAGAGTTCGATCCCTGGTACAAAAAAAAAAAAAGTCATAAAACACTTAACTAAAACTGCATTCTTTGAAACAAGCAGTTTCATTTCAGAGACTTACTTGCAAGGTCCAAGTTTCCTTATCTCAAAAGAAATGATTACAAATATAGTAGGTCATCAGAAGAGCTGTTGGTAGGGTTAATGAGATTGCTTATGGACAAGAACTACTTAGGTATTAAGTTTTTTGGGTTTTTTTTGGTACCAGGGATCGAACTCGGGTCCTTGCGCTTGTGAGGCAGGCACCGGAACAACTGAGCTAAATCCCAGGTCCCAGGTATTAAGTTTTGACTGGAATGTGAAGGTTTAAAAACCTCAAACAGTTTTTTTTTCCTTTTTTTTCAGTACCAGGGATTGAACTCAAGACCTTGTGCTTGCCAGGCAGGCGCAATGCACTGAGCTACATCCCCAGCCCTTAAACAGTATTTTGTTCTTTTTTTGTCCTAGTACAGAGGACTGAACTCAGAGCCTTCAAACTGAGCTACATGCTCAGCCCTTTATTTTTTCAGGAGGCTGACACAGGAGGATTACTGAGTTCAAGGCCAACCTGGGCTACACAGTGAGTTTAAGGCCAGCCTAGAATACATAGTGAGATCCTGTCTCAAACAAACAAACAAACAAACAAACCAAAGATCTGGCTAAGTCCTTAAATTGCCCAGGCCGGCTAGAATTGCAATCATCTTGCTTGAACAGTGCAAGAATTACAACTGTGCAGCACCACCCCTGGCCTAGTGTTTTGTTCTTAATACAGAAACCAATGTTTAAACTATAAAATCCTTAATTGGAGTGTTCAGCCCAACTGACTATCAAATGTTATTTATAAAATGTTTCAATACTGATGATATGAAACTGACAATATAAAAGCTACCATTGGCTTCTTGGTTTATAGTCCAAAGTCATTTGCCTTCTGAGAACATTGCAGAGACCCTAGAGACTCCTTCATTTTTCCAGCAATGTGGCATCTGCCCTCTATGTTTTCTGTCTATCATAGTCTCCGACCATCTTCTTAATGTGTGATAATTTGCTCTTCAGCTGCTTGCAGTAATTCCTCTTATTTCTGTAATCTGCTGACTAAAGGGAGGAAAAATGAATCACACAAATTCAACCAAATTAAAATAGTTCCATTGAGGCTGAGGATTTAGCTCAGTGGCTCCACGCCTGCCTGGCAAGTGCGGGGTCCTAAGTTCGATCCCTGATATCAAAAAATAAAAATAAAAATAAAATAGTTCCGAGAAGTCAAAGGTGAATTTAAAAAGGGAACATCAGCCACACAGAATTGCTTAGAGTGTAAATGAGTAAGGTGTAAATGAACTAAGGTGTCCGGCAGTACCACCAAACACACAGGCAGCTGACTCTTTGCTCAATCTTATCTTCTACAAAGCATGCACTTATTTCTAAAAATTGGCTAAATTACCAAGAAAATTTATTGGCCTTTTGATAACACATCATCTAAAAAATAATAAACAGAAACCATGGTAAGAGTCAATTGGGGAAAAAAGATAAAATGTGAGTAGAGAATTAGGGAAACTGGAAATTTCACTATTTTACTATATGCCTCTTTAAGACTTTTATTTAAAATCATGATGGTCTGTAAATCATAAAAATTTTAATGTAAAATCTTCTAAAATGTTTTGGGTCAATAATGACTGGCAATGACAAGTATCACAAAAACACAGAGGACCAGGAGCTGCCTGCTTGAAGGGTGGGTGAACTGGCCCCAGCACTGGGGATGCTGCCCGGCAGAATGTACTGAGCCAGGCACATGAACGACCAGTGCAATCTCGCTCAGAAGGATACACCTATCAAGTGTGTGGACTGTAACAAAAATGCTTGATGCTGGATGATGTGTAAAAGCCAAAAATCGAGGACTCAAATGTTCACTAGCAATAGAATAGATGAGTAAGTTGTGTTTAGTCATAAAATACAACACTTCACACCAGTAAAAATAAATGACCCACAACTACATCCAGAACATGACTGGTCTTACAAACAATGCTGAGGAAAAGAAGCCATACATGAAATACATGTTATGTGATTCCATTTATATAAATTTCGAGATGGGCAAAACCAATCATGATGTGAAGAGAAAAACTCTAAGAACTAGATGGAGTAAAAGAATACAGCTGCTAGGACACAAGGAAATTGATTTCCTGGTCTGGGTGCCTGGTATACAGGTGTATGTTCATGCTGTAAAAATGTATCAAGTGTACAGTTTCATTTGTACATGTTTCTAAATGTATACTTAAACTTTAAAAAACACACTTTTGGGAAAATTAGAATAGGCTGTAGTTGCAAACATGTGAAATTAAAGTTTCAACCAGTCATAGTGTTCATACTGAAATTACAGACCTTTTGTCTATAATCAGTGTATGTATGATAAAAGTATTCCTAGCCATCCTAAAAGTTAAACAGAAAAACACAGCAAAGTTCTTCCTGAAAGAATCTTACAATCTAGGATACTTACTCTCTTAACTTCCTTCAGTCTGTTGTATTCATCCGCAGCAGTCTATCAATGAGAAATACAAGGGAATATATTTAGTGGGGTACTAAGAATAGCATTCCTTTTTTATTTTGTTTTTGAGGGGGTTTTTTTTGGTACTGGGGATCAAACTCCGGACCTTGCGCTTGCAAGGCAAGCAGCAGAACCACTGAGCTAAATCCCGGCCCTTTTATTTTGTTTTTGAGACAGGGTCTCACTATGTAGTTCAGGCTGGCCTTGAACTCACTATGTAGTCCACACTGGTCTGGAACTCACAGCAACCCTCCTGCCTCAGCCTCCCAAATGCTGGGATTATAGGCATGCACCACCATGCTAACATTTTTTTTTTTGGCACCAGGGATGGAACTCGGGACCTTGTGCTTGCAAGGCAAGCAGCGGGACCACACTGAGCTAAATTCACAGTCCTTAACATTCTTGATGTTATATTGTGGAGGCAAAAATGACAGCTTCTGATAAAAATACAAGAAACTAAAATGAAATCATAGAGCTCTTAAAACTCATTGCCATTTGGATGACCTCAAGGAATCCAATGGACAGCCATTTCTGATACTGTATCCTTTGTTCCAGTTACACAGGCAGGTAACTATTTGTTCTGCTACTTATCTCTCCCCCATGCCAGGCCCCTGGACAATTGAGCAAGGCTTTCATCTCAAAATAAAAGATTAAAAAAAGGGCTGGGGACATAGTTGAGTGTGAAGGCTCTTAGTTCAATTCCCAGCCCACCAAATAAAAAGGTCAACTAAACTAATACCATATAGAAACCACCTAACATAAGCCATCAAAGCAAAAAATATTTCAAAACTGAAAAGCAGATCACCTTGTGGAAACTGCAAAGAGCATCTGATAAAATGAATATGAAGTTCCACTAAACATACAAAGTGAGAGGAAACAGCATCTAAAAGGCACTAGGGGGCTGCAAGTCCAATGAGCCCTCTAGTACACTGCTGAGGAAATGCAGTCCATGTCCTGCAGGGGAGTTTTTCAGCATGTCCACACTCTGGCATTGGTTTTAGCTAGAGAAGCAGACAAAAGTACAAAACTGCAAAAACTCCAGTGTCTCACTGCTACTACTGGGTGCAGGAGAAATTCTTGAATGTCTATCAGCAGAGGATTTTTGTAAGTAAAATACAGCACAATAATAAAACTGAAAACTGTGCAGCTATTTTCACATATTAAAAACTTTTTTTTTTTGGTACCGGAGATTGAACTCGGGTCCTTCCGCTTGCGAGGCAGACAGTGGAACCACTGAGCTAAATCCCCGGCCCCTATAAAAACTTTCAAGGGGTTAAAGAGAGGGCAGGGAAATGGGGAAAAAATAAGAACCAAGATATATTTTGTAAAGGTACAAATCTCCAATGATGAATGTCATTATGTTGTATATGTAAAATGTACCAATAAAATTAATTTTTAAAAAAACCTTTAACTGCAGATTGTGTGTGCTGTGTGCACTCCTGCAGAGGTTTTTCTAACTCCTATTTTGAAGGTTTTCTGACAGTAGAACTCAGGTTGCTATGCTTTCCTGTACATCTGTGTAACTTCTCTATTGATGTGCGTATTATCAATAGAAAAGTGGTATGACTATTTTCTTTAAAATAAGGGATAAGAGGGCCAGGGATTTAGCTCAGTGGTTTCGCCACCTGCTGCACAAGCACAAGGACCAGAATTTGATCCCCGGTACCAAAATAAATAAATAAATAAATAAATAAATAAATAAATAAAAAAAATAAGGGATAGATGTACATTACGAGAAAATTGCTTTGTAATTCTTAGATTTTTTTTTTTTGTTTGGTACCAGGGATTGAACTATAATTCTTAACTATATTAGTACAAGTTGCAATTTGGAAAGACTTTCAACTATGAAATTATAGTTTTATGATTACTAGCAAAATTTTTATCAACATCAGTACACAGGATGCAGTAACTCTACAGATGAAAAATCAAATTCTATGCAACATATAAACACCCAGTTTGAATTTACCATGTACTCTTCACTTTCTTCTCTATAGTCATCCAATTCTTTATCTAAACGGGAGAGTTCTTTATTGACATCATCAAGTTCTGCTTGCAAACTCTTGTATTCCTGAAGGCCACTGTCAAAGTTTCTCTTGTAGAGCTGTCTTTGTTGATCTGAAGTGATGGGTGGATACTCTCTGAGAATTGAGAGAGAAAAATAACTACACATATATCTTCAGCAGACATTTCATCCAGTGTGCTTCCTCCTCAAAGGTCATAAAGCTGGGGGAGCATAGAAATTGACATTCTAGGTTTGTTTTTTATAGGAAGAAGGAAGTGGGATATAAATAACTTCTATTAAGAAAGATTATAGGGGCTGGGGATTTAGTTCAGTGGCACAGTGCCTTCCTCCCAAGTGCAAGGTCCTGAGTTCAATCCCCAGTACTGAAAAAAAAAAAAAGGATTAGGCCAGGGATTTAGCTCAGTGGTTCTGTTGCCTGCCTCAAAAGTGCAAGGACCCGAGTTTGATCCCTGGTACCAAAAAAAAAAAAAAAAAAGGATTATATTTCTGCTGGGCATGGTGGCACATGCCTGTAATCTTAGTACTTCGGAGGCAGAGGCAGGAGGATTGTGATGAGTTCAAGGTCAGCCTATACTACACAGTGAGTTCAAGGCTTGAACTATATATATAGCAGGGCCCTGTCTCAACAAAAAACAAAGAGAAAAAGAATGATAGGGCCAGGGATTTAGCTCAGTGGTTTCACTGCCTGCTATGCAAGTGCAAGGACCCGAGTTCGATAACTGGTACCAAAAAAAAGAATGATTATACCTTTCGGCTGGGGATGTAGCTCAGTGGTAGAGTGCTTGGCTAGCATGTAGAAAGAAAAGAATTATACTTTTTACGTTACTGTTCATGTTCTTTTTTTTTTTAACTATTTCTCATAACTTTCAAAAATCAAGTTGAAAATAATTTATGAAATTTAAGGTCAGAATCATAGGAACTCATTTATTTTCAAAGCATAACAGCACATGGTAATGGAGTACTTGTATTTAAACTTTTCAGTTGAATTCTGGAACACAAAGCCTGTTTTGAGCCTTCAGTAGCAGAGCACTGGCTGGATGTGGCTGTTTCTTGCTCCTACCTACAGTTTTCAGATTGGTTTATTTATTTATTTTTGGTCTTCATTTTCCTAAGTGGAAATAGCTTATTTTGTTCTTTCATTATAAAAGACATTTAAAATGTACACATAGGAGCTGGGAATGTAGCTCGGTGGTAGAGTATGTGGTTAGCATAAGCAAAGCCCTGGGTTCAACCTCTACCAGAAAAAAAACATACACATATAAAAACTGCATTTGCTGGGTGTGGTGGTGCATATCTGTAATCCCAACACTCTGGAGGCTGAGGCAGGAGGATCACTGTGAGTTCAAGGCTAACCAGAGTACATAGTGAGTTCAAGGCCAGCTTAAACTAAACTACACAGCAAGACCTTGTCTCAAAAACAAAACAAAACACCTGTGCTTTTGTTTATTTTTGTGGAGCTGGGGATTGAAGTTAGGGCCTTTGAACTGAGCTATACTAGCCTTTATATTTTTCTTCTTCTTTTTTTTTTTGAGACAAGGTCTTGCTTTGTGTTCAGGCTAACCCTAAACTCACTTTGTAGCCCAGGCTGGTCTAGAACTCGTGGTGATCCTTCTGCCTCTGCCTCCCAAGTGCTAGGAATACAGGCAGGCGCCACCATGCCTAGTGTCTTTAAAAAATTTTTAAGACAGGGTCTTGCTAAGTCACAAAATTGCCTAGATTGGGCTAGAACTTTCATCCTCCTGCTTTAGCCTCCCAGGATGCTGGATTTACAAGCTTGCACCATCACACCTACCATACATGCCCATTATAGAAGGAATCTGAAAATGCATTAAAGTATGAAGAAAAATTGGAATTCTACATCACTTGTCTAAACATACCAGCTATTCCCTGCACAGAAGATGATATTAACCCATAACCTGTTGAGAAAATACTCTGAATAGTTTCATAGGACTAAGATCCTTCACAGCAATGTGAAATTTCAAATTTTAGATCTAACAGTCAGTCTAATATCTTAATTTTAATGAGAGAAGACAGTAAATGATTTGATCAAAAGGCAACCAAAAATTTAGGTTTCTCAAAGTTTTCAGTTAAACTCTTCATGATACAAATTATGTTTACATGATACAAATATGTATACAGACAAGGGGCTGAACCGGGCCAAAAAAAATTTTTTTTTCTTTTTTTTTGGTAGTGGGGATTGAACTTGGGACCTTGCGCTTGCAAGGCAGGCGGTGGAACCACTGAGCTAAATCCCCGGCCCTCAAAATTCTTTTGGTGGTGGAGGGGAGGAGGTATCAGGATGGTTACTGAATAAGGGGATCTCAAGCCAGCCCTGCCCCATCAAATGTTCTGATTAACCATCACTGACACCAGGAAGAGTTCTGATGGTGTCCTGGTGCTCAAGACACTTAGGCGTGAAAAGGCCACACAACATACCCACATGTATTTGGTGACACTGGACTAGAACCAACCAGTAACACAAAGGAACTTAACCACATCCTTGGCCACAACACTACCTCAGTTGTTTACAAAACTGTTTGCCAAAGTTGTTTGGATTAAACTTTAAAAGAAACTCTGGTTTTATCCTGAAAGCTTAACTTAGAGGTAAATGCCAAATTAAAACAACGCTCAGATTCCACCTCACTCCAGAAAGAATGGCTGCTATCAAGAAATCAACCAATAACAAATGCTGGCAGGGGTGTGGAGAGAAAAGGAACCTTCTCCACTGTTGGTGGAAGTGTAGACTGGTGCAACCACTGTGGAAATCAGTATGGAGATACCTCAAAGAACTAGGACTAGAGGTCCCATTTGACCCAACTATTCCCCTTCTGGGTATCTTCCTGAAAGAATTTTAAAAGCATCATACCACAGTGATATATGCACACTCATGTTTATACTGGCACAGTTTGTAATAGCTAAATCCTGGAAACAGCCCAAATGGCCTTCAACTGACAAGTGGATAAAGATGATGTGGTTTTTTTTATAAAGTGGAGTACTACTCTGACATGGGCTTCAGACATTTACAGCTAAATAGATGAACCTTCAGACTATACTCTTAAGTGAAATAAATTAGACACACACATTTAAATACCATATTGTTTCTCTGGTGTGAGAAACCGAAAGTGGAAATAAAGACTAAAATATATAATGAATGTTGGGAAATGTGAAGAAACTGTTCAAATGGGAAGGGGAACAAGGGAGGTGGGAGGGAGAAAGGAAGGAAGGGACAAGAAAAAAAGTGCAAATAGAAGGAAAAAATGGAAACAAAGCTTTTGTACATAGGGAGGGAAGGGGGCTTGGGGGAGGATGGGATAAAATAAAATAAAATTTATTAAAATAAATGCCAAAGGAAAGTCTTGGCACACTTATCTGGGAATTTTATAGAAGAAAAGTCCTCTATATTTGTATTTTATTTGAATAACCTTTCTTGGGTGGCTGTTGGTAGAAGAGCACTGGTGACATTCATTAGCCATTTCATGGGGAACCTAAAAGTGCACTTAAGACATGGTTACACCAAACAGATCCCTTCCACTTCCATCTTTATGACAAAAGGGCACTGTGGAAAAACACAACATAATGAGATGTCTCCAGTCCTGGGTGGTAAAGAATGAAATGACACTGTGAACCCCAGGTTCAGAGGCAACAACCGCAAAGCTGGCTGCTCCAGTCACTAAGCAGCACGTGTGAGGGGCCTGAGGGAGAGAAGAAGGACACTACCTGATCCAGTCCTCCTCCAGCTCGTCACAGGACTCGCCGCCCGTGGTATAGTCTGTTTCGTAGTGGTCCTGCTCTGCTTTCTTCAGCTTGCCTGCTTTTCCCTTCGTGGGAGCCCTCTTTGAAGGTGTCTCGAAGTTACTGGTGCTGCTGTACCGAGGCTGCCGGAAGTCGTCCACAGGGGAGGTGAGGGGAAGCTCCTGCGCCACTTCAGGCACCCTAATAAAAACCGGGGATTTAGCTCAGTGGTTTCGCAAGGCCAAGGGCCCGAGTTTGATCCCCAGTACCAAAACCACCCCCAAAAAAACATGGCACAGTGTTCAGTGATCATAGAGCAACCCTGCCAGGACACTGTACTCACAAAGGCAGCGTCTTCATGCAGGTGGAGTCACTCGTGGAGTTCACGTGCTCAGCACTGAGCAGAGATCTAGTTTCCTGCATTTGCTTTGGCACCAGCTCAGAACTCTCTAATGCACATAAGTAACTTTCAAGTTCTGATTGAAGGTCCTTTTTTTTTCTTTGCAGTACTGGCCATGGAACTCGGGGCCTTGGGTGTGCCATGCAGTGCCACCATTCCTGCTGCTCTTCCACCTTTGTTTTGAAACCTCCACGAGAACACAGACTCAGTATTCTCAGAAATACACCCCCAGCACTCCAGGGGAGGAATATTTTTGAACTTCTAAGCTAAATGGATATCAGATTTCATTTTAGGAAGTTCAGACTGCTCTATCAGAGGTGTTTACCTGTGCCGTGCCAGGGACTTACTCTGCATAAGGCTGTCAGGAAAATAAAGACCATGATTCTTTTCTACAGGTTCTTCCAGTTCCACAGAATGCTGTGCGGGGAAGAGGATGCAGCTTATCTGACTAAGAGATAAGCGTTCTGTAATATTAATTTTATAATACCATGTATCAGTTCTCTTTTCAAGATAAAACTTTGAAAAATAAACCTAAAAATCTAAACTGAAAAGCTTTATAGTGTAAAGAATTAAAGAGTTGAGAAAGTGTTTTGAAAATTGCTGTTAATCTTGAAGCCATGTAGAATGAACGCACAAGCTACCATCACACTATTTTTCTAATGCAATTATTTAATGTTGCATCAGATTTTAGATTGCATGTAACATTCCTGCCACAAGCATGAAAACAAAGTCTAACAGAAATAAAATACCAAGGGCTGGGGCAAGTGTAAACTATTTCTGAGTAGCAGAAATAGTTTTACTTTTCCTCTGTACTAGAAGGGTTTGAAGAGAAATAAAAAGACCAAAGAAAGAGGCTCAGACTTTCTAAGTATCAGTCTTGCTACTCAAAGCAACTATTAAAGATGTCTACAGCTTTTCCCCCTCCTTCTGCATCCAACTCTCAGAAGCCATAATCTTGAGTTTTACCCACCAGGTATACTGTTTTTGAGGTGATCCAGAGCCATTTCATTTTCATTGTTGTCAGAGGCTTAGATTTCTAATCACACTTAAATTTCTTGTAGACCCTGAAAGCTTTGGGGAATGTATGTGTAGTTGGGGTGGGAGTGGTATTTTTTTCTTTCTAAATATATTCAGGTAACCTGTGACTTTCTGTGCTTTGTTAATGTTCCTTGTAATAGAGGAAAAATGTGTCTTTCTCCATGAGTCAATGATTAACAAGTTCCTAGACACTCTGCCAGCTACTGTGCTTATTGCTTTGAAGTTGAAAACAAAACCTTTTGAGTGCAGTAAGTCTATCTGAGGGGTGGGGACCACAGAGGGAAGAAGGTAAAGGTCAAGTGAAATTAGAAAAGGGGAGTCAGGGGAATCAAGCAAACCTCCTGCCATAATGTTACAATATTACATACTGATAATATAAATCTTTACCTTCAAACTTTTGCACCTCTCCTCTTTCTATACCCTTTAAAACCCTACACAGTAAACACTGGCTCTTGTATGAAAGGTGAAAACAAGGTGCTTATTAGCAAGAGAAGTATTTAAAAATTGAGTTATGGTAGGGGTGCAGCTCAGTGGTAAAGCACTTGCCTAGCATGTGCAAGGCCATGGTTCCATCCCCAGTACTGCAATAAAATAAAATGAATTCAGAGTTAGGGAGTGCATATAGTCTCAGTGACCTCCAAACCAACTTTTAGAGCCAAGTCCTGCTCCAACCCAGAGGAGGTAAGCAGCTCTGTGTTTCCCAGCTCCCCTCCCCAGCAGGCTCCTCTCCTCAACATCCTCAACCTCACCTGGTCTCTGAGGTTGAGGTTCTCACTCTCGTTCACACACTGCCCTCCACATGCCTCTGCTGCTCCTGTCTTGGCCTGACTCAGTGTGGTTGTTGGGCACTTTCTTCCACCTTTCTTTTTTTTGTTTTGCTCTGTTTTTTGAGATAGGGTCTTGCTATATAGTTCAGGGTGGTCTTGAATTCACTATGTAGCCCAGGCTGGCCTCAAACTTGCAGAGATCCTCTTGCCTCAGCCTCTCGAGTGCTGGGACTACAGATGGGTGCCACCATGCCCGATACCCTTCTACCTTTGCTTTACAACCTCCCTGAGAACACAGACTTGGCATTCTCAGGAGCACTGGCTCAGAATTGTGCAAATGACAGGTGTCCAAGATAATTACCAAATTGAAAGCAGATTCACAAGAACCCTCCTTTTTTGATGACACACAGAATCCATGTAGGAAGAGAAACACAATACGTGATTAACATCAGCACCACCACTGTCAGAGTGACGTTCACTGTACATGCAGTGTCTGAAGGCTGCTCCCATTACTGGAGAGTATGCAGAGCCTGGCCAACCAGAGAACTCCTGCTTTGATGCAGGGATGGACGACAATGCAGAAAGGGTTTCATGGGCTTTCAGAAAGGAAATTTCATTTTCCAAATACTGGACTGAAAGAGCAATGCAGCTTGGGCATTGCGGATGGCCATACTGCTACAACTGAGAATAAAGCCCATTTGCCAACAGTTGAGCAACAGCATGCAAGAGTCCTGTTGTCTTCTGAGTCTCTGGATCACACCATGCCTGAAGCTAGCTGCATTCTTTTTTTTTTTTTGTACCAGGAATCAAACTCAAGACCTTGTGCTTGTGAGGCAGGCGGGGTGCCACTGAGTTAAATCCCCAGCCCACTAGCTGCACTCTTGGGCCTCATGGGAACCATACATTTCTCTTTTTGCTTAAGCTAGCTTAAATTGGGTTTCTATAACTCAAATAACTTGCCTAAATATCCTACCACATCCTAGCAGCCTACTGCTACCAAATAATGGCCTCATTTGACACTGTGCAGAGTCAGCCTGCCTTGAAGGCTCCACACTGTAGCAATATTTGACTACTTGACTTATAAACTTACTGAATTCTGCTGCCTCCTGATGCAGGATTAATTCTAACTAGCAGACTGCCTTGAAATTCTAAGGCATCAAACATTACGATACACAAAAGGAACCACAACAGGCGAGTAAGTAGCATAGGATTCCATCGTACATAAAGTTCAACAGCAGGCTAACGGATGGTGATAGACACCAAAACAATGGTTACCTCAGGGTGGGAGCAGGTGGGTTTGCTGGAGAAAACAGTATATTCTCACTGTGCGGTCTATTCCCCCCAACACCCCCCTCCCCATAATATGGAGGACCTGCCCCAGTAAACGAGGTGCCAGATGTTATGATTTGGATATGGCTGAAAGTGTGCATGTGTTGAAAGCTTGGTCCTGAGTGTGGCAATGGTGGGTAGTGGTGTACACCTTTAAGAGGTGGAGCCTAGTGGGAAGTCTTTAAACCACTACTCGTGCTGCACTTGAAAGGGGATCCACTTTTTTTTGGTACCAGGGATCAAACTCAGGACCTTGTGCTTGTGAGGCAGGCAACGGAACCACTGAGCTAAATCCCTGGCCCAGGAGACCCAGTGTTTACAGAGCAAGTCCAACCTGTGAATCACTCTCTGGCTTCCAGTTCTGAGATGTGCTCTCTCCTTCCACATGTGTCCCTGCCATTGTGATGCCTCATTTTGTCCTGAGGTCTTCACCAAAGCTGAGCTGATGCTAATCCATCCCCTCAAACTTCCAGAGATGTGAGCTAATAAACCTCCTTTCTTTATAAAGCTAGCCTGCCTCAGGTATTTTGTTGTTCTTGTTTGTTTTTGGTACCAGGAATTGAACTCACGGCCTCAGTATGCTGTTGAGCTACACCTCTGGCCCTGCCTCAGGTATTTTGTTACAGCAATGAAAAATGGACTAATACATCATAATTCTAGAATTCGCATAAAATTTTCTAGTTTAATAGCTATTTATGTGGATAATGTTAATCAACATGCAATCTTTCCCTTCTGTTCATGAAACCTAGTAATTATAGGGAAGAGAGACTGAAAACCACACTTAATTGTTCCAGTAACTTTCTTTCACCCTCACCAAATCTTCAAAACTAGAAACAGTAACAGGAGCACACAGAACCACATTCTTACAGTGAAAGACCACAACCCAGCCTTTTAATTAAATCAGCGAGTAAAAGGCCACATTTTCAACTGAACAAGGAGAAGACTCCCACCCTCCTCATCCTGGATCCCCGTCTTCCAAGTAGCCCTAGGCCTCTATCAACAAAGTAAACACAGAGTGAGAGACACACACACACACATTGGTACCTAGGTTCACAAACAATTCTTTCCACAATTCTGGTAGAAAACCGCATCAGTCATGAACCGAATCAAATGTCTCCATAAGGTCAACATTGAAGCTAACTACTGAATTTGATTCAGTTTATGACCAATTCAGTTTCCAACCAGAATTGTGGAAAGAATTAAGTCTGTGAACCACAGCACCACTGCATATATACCTCTAAATCATAAATATAGATAGATCAGACTCCACCTTTTGTGGATACTGCTAGTTTTTGCTTTCTGTTCTTTTGAGACAGGGTCTTGCAATGTACTTCAAGGAGCTCTGTGGCACCAAGCCTGCCTCACAAACCCAAAGTCCTGAGTTCAATCCCCAATACAAAAAAAAAGAAAGTTGTATAAATCACCTGAGAATTATGTACTTCAGGCTGGCCTTCAACTCTCTATATAGTCCAGGCTGGCCTAGAACTCATGGTAATCCTTTTGCCTCAGCCTCCAAGTGCTGAGGATAGAGGAATGAGCCACCACATGTGGCTCTGTTATCTTTTTTTTTTTGTACCAGGGATCAAACTCGGGACCTTGTGCTTGCAAGCAGGCGCCAGAACCCCTGACCTAAATCCCCGGCCCCTGTTATCTATTTTTTTAAAACGGCAATGGCACAAAAGAATTAATTCCTCATCCCTCTACCCCAACATACACACTGGAGACTGAATGCAGGGAACACTGAGTTACATCCCCATCCCTTTTTGAGACAGGGTCTTTCTAAATTATCCAGGCTGGCCTCAAACTTGAGATCCTTCTGCCTCAGTCCCCTGAGTAGCTGGAATTACAGATATGCACCTCTACACTAGCTAACAACTGATTTTACAGATGCAAATATTCATTTTCTGATTCATTCTATCAAAGTAAAGGAGCTGCTACTTACAAAGGTGTTGACTTATAGGAAGGTTCTGGATAGGGCTGCTTGCCATTCACTTTGCCATTGGAAGAGTATGCCATGGAACTGTCAACTCTCTCCACATAGTCAGACGGGGGTGGAGGCATGTCTTGTGTGCCTGCAGAAACGTTTTTAACCTAAAGAAACCCAAACAAAAACAACCACAAGAGACAATTAGTATTATGTACCCTGTAATTTAAAGGGGGAGGAAATGGGAAAAAAATTATCCTGTATAAATACCAAATATTTATTTGGCTTATTAAATACTATTAACTTATAATGATTGCTTTTTTATTATTAGTGTTAACAGTCAAATTGATTTTTTTTTTTTTTTTTTTTTTTTGGTAACAGGGATCAAACTCAGGACCTTGCACGTGCAAGGCAGGCGGTGGAACCACTGAGCTAAATCCCCGGCCCTCAAATCGGTATTTCTTTAAGCACAGAAACAGTGCTACTGCTAGTTTTACAAGACCAGAATCTATCATCAAGTAGGAAAAAAATCTCACTTGATTCTCATCCTGATGTAATTAGGTGGAATAACTACCCATTTAATTGTTCCCCTCACCATGTTAGGAAAGACTGAATGCAGGGTTCAATATGAAATAGGTGTGGGACAATACAGAGGAGAAGCGCCCCCACCACACCAGGGTCTCCCCACACTACTGAGCTCAGACTGTCCTTGAACTGCCCTGTCCTCCTCCTGCCTCAGCCTCCCTACTACTGGGATTACAGATGACAGACGCATGTCACTACAGTGGCAGAAGTTTCATTTCTCACAAATGCTCTCAAACTCTCTGCTGCTACTGTCTGGGTACCACACTTGGAAAATCATTAATCTAGAACAAAAGACATTGCTTCTTAATCCACTCATCCCTAAGCAAGAAATGCTAAAAATACAGAAAAAATTAAGGAACTCAAATTCATCTGTATTATAGCTCTCTCTCTCTTTTTCTTTTTCTTTTTTTTTTTTTTTTTGGTACCGGGGATCAGAACTCCGGTCCTTGCACTTGCACAGCAGGTGGCAAAACCACTGAGCTAAATCCCTGGCCCCCTGGCCTAAGAAGTTTCTTCTTAAGAGAGCTATAGTAGGGGCCGGGGATTTAGCTCAGTGGTTTTGCCACCTGCTGTGCAAGTGCAAGGACCGGAGTTCTGATCCCCGGTACCAAAAAAAAAAAAAAGAAGAAACTTCTTTATTCTCCCTAACTCTAACCTATAACTAATTGGCTGTACTATTCATAGCCTACACACTGGAACACAACACTGTTCCCTTCCCCTTTTACTTCCTTCTTACTCCATTTGATGTGCAAGTGCTTTTGTCCTTCAGAAGTACAGTATAGACATATTTGGTTAGGGGTGGAGCTCAGGGGTAAACCATTTGCCTTGTATGTGCAGACCCTGGGTTCAGTTCCTAACACTGCAAAAAAAAAAAAAATCATTAGGGATTATACTTTGTTAATATGGAAGATTTACCTTCTTCAGAAGAAAAAAATAAAGGCCTGGGGACGTAGCTCACTGTGAAGGCCCTGGGTTGAATTCCCAAGACTATTAATTAATTAATCCATCCATGCAGTATGTGAAGGCCCTGGATTCAATTCTCAGTGCCATTAAAAAAGTACATACATACATACTTCTTTTTCACAATACTAGGGACTGAACCCAGGGCCTTGCAAACACTAGGAAAGCACTCTACCACTGAGCTACACCCGTTCCTTTTAAATTTTTATTTGAACATTGGGTATTGCCAGGTTGTCCAGACTGGCCTTGAACTTTCAGCCCTCCTGCCTCAGCCTCCGAGTAGCTGGCATTACAGGTATGCACCACCATGCCAGCCACTCTTAAATTTCACTTAAAACATTTTATTCTATCACCTATTACTAAGGCAATTGATTTTTTAGACTTTTCTTTTTTCAGTACCAGGGATCGAACTCAAGACCTTGCACTTGCGAGGCAGATGGTGGAACCACTGAGCTAAATCCTGGGCGAACCACTGAGCTAAATCCCGGGCCCACAACTGATTTATTTTAATTTTTAATTTTATTATTATTATTTTTTGGTACCGAGGATCAAACTTGGGTCCTTGCGCTTGTGCAACAGGCAGTGAAACCAATGAGCTAAATCCCTGACCCTAAAGAAGATCTGGCATCTTGATTTTTTTGGTACGGGGATCGAACTCAGGACCTTACACTTGCAAGGCAGGCGCTGGAACCACTGAGCTAAATCCCCAGCCCCTACAACTGATTTTTTTTAAATGGGGGAAAAGAACCGAAGACCTAAGTGCTAATCCACCAAAGTGCTAATCCCAGATAAATCATTTAGCTGATTTTGCATAAAGGAATAGAAACAAGGTATGGGGGAAAAAATAAAAATAATGCTACTTATGTGGAAAAATGGAATTTTTCAAAGTAAGGGAAGGGAGGACACTTTAGCTTGGTCACAAGAGCTGCCTAGGCTCACCCCTGATCTGCTACCTACAAGCTCTAGAAAGGCTCAGCCTCTTCACCTGCATAAAATGGGGTAAACAATCCACTGCATGAAGCTGTTCTAATGAATAAGGGACATGATGGGATAGATCACTTGCCACAATGCTTTCTGAACACGTAAAAAGTCCTAAGATGAAGGAATAAAGGCCATTTGATCTGATCAAAAAATTTTTAAAAGAATTTGCAGGTGACAGCAGAATTATAATTGAATTATTTCGCTCTTAGACCCCTGCAGTTAGGTACAGCATTAATACAGTTAGGTACAGCGTCACTTCCCTGCAACACACACACACCTTACACTTTGGTTTCCATTCTCACATCATCAAAACCGGGCAAGCACTGTTCCTAGCACTGCAACACCACAAGTCTGAAGATACTCAGCCTCAGAGTACACAGAGGTATTTTCTTGACTGTTTAACACTGAGTTAGAAAGGAATGGGATCATTTTCCTCAGAAACTGGAATTTGGCAGCAGCTTGGAAAACAGTGGGTGGGTTTCCAGGGAGTGTACCTAGATCTCACCACAGGAGGGACAGGGTGGAACCATTCTTGGCTCCCAGAACAGAACACCAAGCTCCACAGGCAAATCCTCACCAGGCCAAAGAGGCCTCATCAGAATCTGAAAAGACTTCCTTTTCTTAAAAGCCCACCTTACACTTCTCCACTTGCCCCTTCTCCTCCAGCTGCTACTTCAGCAGGGGCCCTTTCACAGCTGGACTGCCCTTCCTCCTTTCTTTGCCAGCTAATCCTTCACTGGGCTTCAACTCTTGGTTCAAACATCACCACCTGCTAGGGACCTTCCCTTCAGGTCCCTGTTGGGATACCAGCAACTTGTCCTCTTAGCACCCCACACCTGTGCCCTTCCCCACACACTAGTGCACTTCCAGGGTTGCCAAGCAATTGCTTACTCACAGCACTGGCTCAATCACTTATCTTTGACCTTAGCAGACAACGTACTATTCTTAAGCCATCACCTGCTTACAATACTGAATCGATGGGTCATTTAGTAGGAACAACTTTACAGGCAGTATTACTCCTTTCTCAAAAATGAGGAAGCTGTGGCTAAAGAAACTGGACAACTTTCCCAAGGACTTAGGCCTACTAACAAAAAGGTAACGTGGGTGGTCTCTTCCTTTACTCTTTGGGTTTCCAAAGCCTAGCCCAGTGCCTGGCACAAATCAGGAGCCCAGCGTTTTCAGCAAAAAGGTTTTCTCATTGATTACTGCTGTTCCTACACTGTGTACCCCAAGTGTCTCAACAATGAGCTGTTCTGAGTTGGCCTTTATGTCAGTGTCAGCAGAACTGGATTAGCTTGACCACAAGTCCCAACCTCCAACAGAAATCTTTTATATTTAAGCCTTTTTAATACGGTATAAAAAGTTCAGCAGCATGTACAGTAAAACTGGAACACAGAGATACCAGAGCCCCTATGCAAGGGTGACACCCAAATTTGTGAAGCATTCTGTATTTTTTTAAAGCCCCACCCAACTATGATGGCAGACTCAAAAGATGAATAAGCAACAGCTTTGATTTTCAAGAGAAGCTTCAAAGTTTAGAGGCAGAGGCAAAATATATTTATAAAACAAGAAGATGGGTGTGGTGGTGCATGCCTGTAAGCCCAGCACTGGAGAGGCTGAAGTAGGAGGATTACTGAGTTTGAGGCTAGCCTGGGCTACATAGTGAGTTCAAGGTCAGCCTGAACTACATAGGTGAGACCCTGTATCAAAAAACAAATCAAGGGCCGGGGATTTAGCTCAGTGGTTCCGCCACCTGCCTTGCAAGCACAAGGCCCCAAGTTCAATCCCCAGTACCAAAAAAAAAAAAAATCCCAAAAACCAAACCAAAACAAAACAACCTAAAAAACAAAAACCAACCAAACAAACAAAAACCGCAAGGAGAAAGATAATTTTTTTTTCACTTTAAGGCTTTCTCCCCCCACCAAAAAAAACTAAGAAAATACCTTTTCTCTACTCTGCTTCATTCTCCATCATTTCTCCAACCTGCACATTCAATACAATATGAATATAAACCCAGTACTGTTGCTTTTGAAGGTCAGTAGAAGGAAGTGGGAGGAGACCTGTGGGAATTGACTGACTGGGTATTAGTAATTTTTTTTTTTTTTTTTTTTTTTTTTTGGTACTAGGGATTGAACTTGGGTCTTAGCTTGCGAGGCAGGTGGTGGAACCACTGAGCTAAATCCCCAGCGGGTATTAGTAATTTATACAAGAGTCCCCAACCTGGATTTCCTACAAGGGGACAAGGCCTTTCTGAGTTTCAGTGTTATTATTGATATGATCCCAGCCAACAAAACTGGATGGCATAGCTAAAGTTCATTAAGAAGAGAAGAGGAAAGGAGCTGGGCGGTGATGGTACACACCTGTAATTCCAGCACCCAAGAGACAAAGGCAGGAGGATGATGCAAATTCCAGGCCAGCATGAGCTACACAGTGAGTCAGCACTACATAGTGAGACCCTGTCTCAAAGAACAAAGTAAAACAAAGAGAGAAGGAGGAAGGGACTTGGTGTGTGTGTGGGGGGAGTTGGAGGGTGGAGTCTCAAGAGGGAAAGGGCTCCTGGGGCCCCCACCAGAGCCCAGCTGCCTCCCCCTCTGAGATCTGGTCCCCAGGTCCCCATCCCACATTTAGACTTTATAAAGGC